TGGAATGAGTTGAGGAATAAATAAATACGGATGATGCATCAGAAGAGACTGAGCCCCCTTAAACTGAAGAAGATATCATTCTGGTGGGTTTGAATAAATATTTTCAATTATTATTTAAATCCTGGCTTGTCCATTGCCTGATTTATCTTTTCTCAGGCTATGAATCCACATAAGTGACAAAGTTGCAGCTCAAAGCCTTGTTTTTCTGTGTCTTAGATCCCTGGATATGCTGCAGAGATTGGCATTTTGACACCATTAACTATTTCCAGGAAATTTGGAGTTTATGAGTAGCTATTGATTCACAGAATAGCATCTATATTAGGACAAATGTGGCAGCAGACAAGTTGGATTTATCTAGCCTGAGACGAAAAGCTGATTGATTACACAGCCAAGGGCAAATGAGGTGGAAATGTCTAGGAGATTAGGTTTGCTCCCAGTGTCCTACATTTCAGAGGGATGTGATCATTGATTTCATGTTTAATGTTTCCTGTGGACAGCTTTTCTCTACCATAGATTGTCTTAGAGTTGAAATAAATACAAAGTCTTTTCTGGCAAATGTTGCACGTATAGGTTTAGCTCAGTGGGACAAAGAGCATTAAGTTGTGGTTCTGTGGCAGGTGCCCTGGAATAGCTGTGTCATCCTCCATCTGTGACAGGTGAGGACACCAAGGTGCACATTGGTCAGGATGATTTGGGCTTGGGGACGCAACTAGCTAGTATGATGGAATGTTGGGACCTTTCTAGAATTGTTAGGCTGTCATCACCTGTCAGAGCACAATTCTCTGTGAGAGCAAAGCCCACTCCCCTGGGAGTGCCTACTGGGGTGTTCTTTCTGTGTTCCCTTCATACCTCCCAGAATTCACTTCAGTGTTTAGTCCTCATTTTCACTCCACCTGGTCTCTCCTTGACACCACACGCAGACTCTACAGGGCCCCGTTCGCTGACATCAGCTCTTGTATCTAAGAAACTCCTTGCTCCTGATTGGTTACATAATGGGAAGGTGGGACTCTGAGGCCACAGATGATGTCACCTGCCACATCCCGTTTCTTTTTTCCTGGATCGAAGTCCTTCCCAATGGAACTGCCAAAACGTTTATGTTCTTTTCTCTGCATCTGGTTTCTCTGCTTCAGTTTTAAGTACCTATTCTGATTTTCTGGGTAACATTCTGAATTCAGTCACCTACTCAGGGAAGGGCAGATTCAATGAGACAAACAGATTACTTATATGCAGTGCATTACACGGGTGAAGAGGTAAACCACAGTCAGTCCCCTCCCTCAAGTTGTTTTGAATCCAGAGGAGGAAGCAAATATGTGTGCAGCCCTTTACCTTTATAAGGACAGGGGAATAAGAAAAGAACAAATAATATGGTGCAGAAGCACAGAGCTGGAAATTAACTCTGACAGGAAATGAGGGAAGGTTTCAGGGAGGAAGTGGCATTTCAGCTGAAGCTAAAGGGTAGCAGGACCTGCTTATTTCATTCTTTGAAAGGAAGCCCTCAGTGGTTGAACCATGACATTTGTGGTTTTCATTGACTGTAGAAGGTTGCAACAGTAGCACTGGAATGGTCCAGGTATGTGATAGAATTCATCTGAGTCTAGAGCCTGGCTTAAGTTACTCTTTCTCCCTTTCTTACAGGAAAGGGATGGTTAATCTTTTGAGAGAAGTTGAGAGTTAGTGAGTGATTTGTAGGCAGTAAAGCTTCTTGCTGTTGGAGGTAATGGTAGAAGTGTAAGTGAATGTATACATTGCAGACAAGCCTTTTTGGGCAGCAAGTTGCTGAAGCTACTAAATGCATTTCACACAAACTAAACAGTTTTTCTTAAACGTTAGTGCATAGGAATCACCTGGGATATTTTATTAAAATGCAAATTCTGATTCAGTAGGTCTGGGGGGTACCTGAGAGTCTCCAGTTCCAACAGGCTTCCAGGTGAGGTCAATCCTGGAAGTGAACATCACTAACTCAAAGAGGTAATGAAAAAGAGAGTTGAATAATGGATGGGGAGGAGCCGTGGACATACAATGGGGAAATGACAGCCTCTTCAACAGCTGGTGTTGGCAAAACTGGACAGCTATATGCAAGAGAATGAAACTGGATTATTGTTTAACCCCATACACAAAAGTAAATTTGAAATGGATTAAAGACTTGAATGTAAGTCATGAAACCATAAAACTCTTAGAAGACAACATAGGCAAACATCTCCTGAATATAAGCATGAGCAACTTCTTCCTGACCCATCTCCTCAAGAAAGGGAAACAAAAGCAAAAATGAACTCATGAGACTACATCAAACTAAAAAGTTTTTGTATGGCAAAGGACATCATCAACAAAACAAAAAGGCATCCTACAGTATGGGAAAATATATTTGTAAATGACATATCCAACAAGGAGTTAACATCCAAAATATATAAAGAACTCACACACCTCAACACCCAAAAAGCAAATAACCCAATTAAAAAATAGGCAGAGGATATGAAGAGACAATTCTCCAAAGAAGAAATTCAGATGGCCAACAGACACATGAAAAGATGCTCCACATCACTAATCCACTAATGAGGAAAATGCAAACTAAAACCACAATGAGATATCACCTCACACCATTAAGGATGGCCAGCATCAAAAAGACTAAGAATAACGAATGTTGGCGAGGATGCGGATAAAGGGGAACCCTCCTTTCTGGTGGGAATGTAAGCTAGTTCAACCATTGTGGAAAGCAATATGGAGGTTCCTCAAAAAACTAAAAATAGAAATACCATTTGACCCTGGAATCCCACTTCTTGGAATATACCCAAAGAATACAACTTCTCAGATTCAAAAAGACATATGTACCTCTATGTTCATTGCAGCACTTTTTACAATAGACAAGATATGGAAGCAACCTAAGTGTCCATTAGTACATGAATGGATAAAGAAGATGTGGTACATATATACAATGGAATACTATTCAGTCATAAGAAAGAAACAAATCCTACCATTTGCAACAACATGGATGGAGCTGGAGGACATTATGCTCAGTGAAATAAGCCAGGTGGAGAAAGACAAATGCCAAATGATTTCCCTCATTTGTGGAGTATAACAATGAAGCAAAACTGAAGGCACAAAATAGCAGCAGACTCAGAGACTCCAAGAATGAACTAGTGGTTACCAAAGGGGAGGGGTGTGAGATGGTGGGTGGGGAGGGAAGGAGAAGGGGATTGAGGGGTATTATGTTTAGTACACATGGTGTGGGGGATCACAGGGAGAACAGTGTATCACAGAGAAGGGACATAGTGGATCTCTGGCAACTTGCTGCACTGATGGACAGTGACTGCACTGGGGTATGGGTGGGGACTTGATAATATGGGTAAATGTAGTAACCACATTGTTTTTTTATGTGAAACCTTCATAAGAGTGTATATCAATCATACCTTAGGAAAAAATTTAAAAAAATAATGGATGGGGAATTATATGAAATCCTTCTATCTACCACTAAGGGCTTAAAAAGAGGACATGTTAACACTACATGAAGCCCCAAGTAGGCAGGAACCATCTTTTATATTTTCTTGGTTGCATTTAGAAAATTGGGCACTTTGAGAAACCACCTGGCTGAATTCAGTATTTTAAAATTCAGGCATTGCATAATATATTTCAGAGAGGGGTGCATTTTTGTGGGGATTTTTAGAGATAGCTGCTTCTTATACTGCAAAAAAGTGGGTTTCTGGGTCATAAGGATTTGGAATTATAAGATTTTTCCTCCACTGTGCAACCGCAAGTAAGTTATTCTCACTAGTATCAGTCTCCTCATCTGTGAAATGGGGATAATACCTATCCTGCTGGGTGGTTGTGAAGACTAGCAATTAGGTTTATAAAGTGATCTCTCCACTTCTGACCAAATTATATGTTCTCAACTAGGCTGTGCCTCACTGAGATCAGGAAATGGGTTTTATTGAAATGGATATCCCCAGAGTCCAGCACAGCATCTAACTACTAGGCACTTAACTGAATAAATGTTTATTAAACAAGGAGCAGGTACAACCCTAAATGTCTATACCACTAACCTGTTAGCTAGTATATACTTTTGTACTGGTCTATAACCTTTAACTTATTTATATTTGTCTTTTTATATAGCCTCTTTGGAAAAATAGTTATGTTCTTCCTTCTCTTTAAACCCCTTCTATACACTCCTCCCCCGCAAGCTCTGAGTAAGGACATAAGACCTTGAACTCTTGAGGTTTTCCAGCAAGCAGGTAGCATCCACTGCTAGGTCCAGGCTTCTTGAGGTCAGGACTCAGTCTTCCTCTACAGGACCACCAAGGCCCTAGCTCATTTTTTCACCCAAGCCTATTTAATTCCTAACCACAGGTAGCCAGAGTAATTTACCTGTCATTGCTAATTTGGAGGTGGGATGTGGGGTGTGAGGAAGACTAACGTTAGGGTTAGGGTTTGGATTTACGTGTGCCTTCTATTTCCTGAATTTTCCTCCTTTCCTTCTTTCAGCAGTTTTCGAGAATGGCTAGGCTTGGGGGTGAGGGGACAGAAAAGGTTGACCAGACCATTGGAGCGGCACAGACTTGCCAGGTCTCAGAGGCGTGGGAATCTCGGGAGGACCTGCTCCCTTCCCCCATTGCTTCGAACCTGTCCAGAGCATGCGCTCAGAGAAGCACCCGGAAGCTGCAAGCTGGGGGCTTGGAGTCGGGGACTGCCGGTTGCCTGGGTTATACATTCACCTTCGACCTAGCCTAGCGACCCCTGCCTTCAACCCTACAGCCTGGAGGAGCGCCGCCAAATCACCTCACAGCGCCCTAGACCGGAGCTGCGGCTCCGCTGCTGATTGGGCGCCGTTGCCTCCCACCCACCTTGCCATCCGCCCTCTCCGGGCGCCGCTGCGCGTCTTCATTGGTCATCAGTGCTGCCGATCAGTCCACAGCTCGCCTCCTCCAAACAGCCCGTCAGGATGGCGCGTGCTTGGGAGGCGGTGCCTCAGGGTTGGGGTGGGGCCTCCCAGGAGGCTGGCAGAGCGGCCGCTTGGGGCTCGGGCTTTGGCTCTGGACACAAGGACAGCATCCTCGCGGCAGCCGCGGCAGCTGCTACACTTGGTCAGGTAAAGAGAACCTTGTCTGTACTGCTGGCGGTCTGCTCCGTTCTTCTCTCTCCTGACGAAAGTCTGCCTGCCGCGCCTCTCGGGGCTTCAGGGCTCGTGGAAAGAGGCATCAAATCTGTTTTGCCTGGTTACCTCATCTTTGTCACCTGCGACGGTTCCTTAAGCGCCCCAACCAAGCGGTTCCGAAGTGCTGTGATGGGAACCCCCGGGTCCCCCTAACGCTCCCCACTGCAGAACTGTTGTTAACTGTCAGGTCCCGACCGCCTTGACCCGCCCGTGCGGGCTCTTTCCCATCTTAGCACAGGAACGGGTGGGAAGGTGGGCGGGGGAGGGAGGGATGCACTGCTTATTTCGAAGCTGGATGTGTGTATTTAAGAGGGGGAGCATCTCCGTGAGGTTGGTTCGGGAACGGAAGCTGCTTCATAATTATGACTGGCATGACTAGAAGAGTATCTGTCGCTGCTGTGTGCTTATTTATAGGTGACTTTGACTATCACCGCTTTCTTCATTCTTCATCATCATCATTTCCACCATCACCACGACCACCACCATCAACATTTCTATTCCTCCATCAGAGCTCTTCAAGTTCTGCAAAGGCAGACTGTTCAGGAATGTAAGTGCTGTCCCCCACCCCCCACCACCACCAAAAAAAGAGTGAAGAACAAGCAATGCCCTTGCCGCTTAGGGTAAAGAGAAGTCCTTATTTAACTCAAGGACAAGTAGTTGGGAGCAGGGTGTAAGTGGGGCAAGTTTCCTTATCTCCATTTGCAGTTGAAATTGCCACAGAAAACCCTTTGTTTTAGTCATATACGCTGCTGCTTGCTGACTCCTGGAGACACTGAGATTGGCACTCCCATACTCCTGATGAGCTGAACACAGAGTCCAGGATCTGTGATACAGGCCCGTGCAATACCGGTGCTTCAGTCATGGGGAGGTGACTGTCAGGACACAGGCCTTTAAGAGACCAGGTCAGGTGGCTTAGCTTCTGACTTTCTTCCACAGTGGCCCAGTTGTACTAAAGCATGATCCGTGTTTGCATATTGGGTATGTGTCATCATGTGCTGTGCCATGTCCCAGGATCTAAGTTCCTGGGAGAGAGAATTATGTTGTATTGTCTACAGTAGATAGCATCATATGGCACACTGTTGGGATTCAGCAGCCATTGCTTAGTTGTTCATAGGGCTTACTACAAGATGACTTGAATCTCAGACTTATTAACCCTTTTTCATGAGGGAAAACAGACTGGGAGTTACATACTCAATGAACTGTCATTGTAGAAGAAAACTGCTTTAAAAGTGTTATAAAAGTCCCAGATCTTCTTGGTCAAAGATATATAATCATTAGTTCTCCTTTTTATCAACTGTGTTTATAGGTCAATAGTAGGATCAAGGAATAAAATGCCTTTAGATAGACTGCAGGAATTAAGAAACAGTGTCCTCGCAGGAGACATCCAATAGATAAAAGTTGGGAGACAGTGTATTACAATGATTAAACTCATAAACCTGTCACATGGGCTTAAATCCTGGACCCACCAGCCACTCACTAGCTGAGTGATTTTAGCAAGTCACTTACCCTTTTGAATTTTAGTTTCATGTTTGTAAAGTGGGGATAATGTTATCTGCTTCATAGGAGAAGTTGTAAGGATTAAATCAGATGATATGGTAAAAATGCTTAGTAGTTCCTGCCACATAGCAAGTAGGGAATGAATGGTACCTGTTATGAATAATACTTACCAACAAGAATAATAAAGGCTAATGTTCTGTCCCTAAATGTGCATTCCCCGCCCACCATTGTCTTTCTCCATTCTTTTGAGGTCTTAAAGCTGATGCTAGTGGGGGATAGCAGTCTGCAGGTTCCTCATAGGACTCCATCTTGGAACGGTGGCCCTGATTGAAGCCACTTGTATTGGAACGGACATTTCTCTCACCAGCTTGCACAAATGCTTAGCAAGCTCTACTAAAATGCATTAAAGATGCAACTTTAGAGAAGGTTTCTGGGCCTTCAGGTCTATCCTAAGCTGCTCCTATCTCCTTGGCTGTTCAATACACTGATTTGGCAAATTGAGCTTTTTACAGAATCACTAGTGAATGCATTGGCTTGTCCCCAGGAGAAGCAACAACACTGCTTTTCTTCAAATGTGCCTGGGAATTGAAGAAACTCTAACTTGCAAGCATGGAAGAACCTGTATTTTACAATATTTTTCTTCTCTAAGAATAACGTATTTATCTTTGCTTATGTAGAAAACAGCAAGCAATTACAGAATATCTATGTAGTTCAGTTTTCCCATTTAGAAAGAGAGGTTAACTGTCTTATTAACTCTTTGGGACTACTTTGAGATTTACAATGTATTGTTAATTATGTTAGTTAGGATGCTTTGTATTGTATAGAATAAAAACCCAGCAGAAAATATCTTAAGCAAAAATGAGCATTTTTGGCTAACATAACTGAGCTATAGCTAGATTCTAATGTCTCAGTGAGGAAGCTGGTCTTGAGATTTAGATGCTTTTCCGTTGCTTGCTTGATTGCTGTCTCTTTGTGTCTGTCTGTCTTTCTTGGTTCTATCTTTTATTTCTGCTCTTCTTTCTTTGTCTTGGCCTTATTCTTCTATGTCACAGACCTGGTTCTCTCAGTGCCTTCTTAGGCTTTAAATATGCATCCATACAGCTCTGTAACCCAAGGATAGCTCCTTTCTCTAGTTCCAAAGTGAATCCTAGGGAAGAACTGTGATTGATCAGTCCTTGGTCACAGGCTTAACCCTGCCTGGAATGAATGCTTTGGCCTCGGGAAAGAGGTTCTTTGAGTATTATGACTGTTTGAGAGTAGATCTCATATCTTGGCTTTCCTCCCTCACCAGATGTAAGATAGGTGGAGCTGTCCTCAGAGGAAGAGGAAAAGGAATGGGAGCAGTCTGTAACTTGATGTGATAATGGGAAACATCCTTAATAGAGGATTCAGAGACACTTCTCTCCTACCTCCACATACGGTGATGCAAAGTCTAGTTTTATGTTGAAGTGTGCATCTCATCCCAGGCAGTAATGTGTTTTAGGTGATATTGCCTTTAATAGTTTTCTTCTTAAAATTTGAATAATTGTGAACATTCATTAGAGTTATTTAACAATATATAGTAATTCCACTATTGGTAGATCGTGTTTGGGGGTTACTCATAATCTCTTGTTGGGATAATCTCTTGTTTTAACAGGAGCCATTATTTCTAGAGGCACATAGTTTCTGTGTTAAAAATTACTTTTATTCTCAGCAGGTCTCAGCTTGTGTGTTGACAGAGTTACAGCCATTAATCTGATTTGCTTGATCATGTAGAGATGCTAAACCATGAAACAAATATGAGCTTGCACCAACAGGCTGGCTTGTGAGGAAGTTGAAACATCCCTGCATTTAGCGTCTGTGTGGATGTGCTAACAAAGCAGTCATGTGCCTGCCCTGTAACATAATTACTGAAGTGGGGAGATGGAGAGAAGGCTATGGGCCTCCCTACCTTGTCATATAAAAAGAACACTCTGGGAAATGGACCATTCCCTCACTTAGGCTTCTCAAGTTCTCTAGCAAGGTGTAAAATGCATCCCTGAGTAATCTGTGTTTCTGTATTTCTTTAGGCTTTGACATATGATGCCATAGTATAGGTATGGGGCTGGGGTAGGGGGAAGAGTTGGTCTTCCCTTTGGGCTACCTCACCTTACCACTTCTCTGAAGTGACCTCGGAGCTTTACTTCTGTAGGAAGTATGCTATGGGCTAGGTTTTTGTTCTTATATTTTTTTAAACCAGTTCATCTATTTCCTTACTGTAGCTTCAGGCAGGGAGGGTTTCCAGCTCCAGGAGAGCTCACTATGGATTCAGTGAGACTGAATAATGACAACATAACATTGTGGGTAAAAAGGGGCTCATACCAAACTTTATCCTCATGGCAGTAGGTCGTGTGCTGGAATCCTGCCCACCTCTTCTCTGCCCCTGGCTCCAGCCTCTGCCCAAGCGCTGCCTCCACTCTAGGCTCCCCAGTCTCTGCTCTCTTCTCTGGGCTATGCTGCCCTGCTTCCCTTTGCCCCTCACACTGGGAGGAACTCTTCTTATATCAATGCTGGCAGTAATGGCTTATTGTCAATGGGTGTGCAAGTATATACCTGAACAGCAGGCTAAGTATTATATCATCACATGTATACAATGGGTGACATAAGGATCAGGTGAGAATCCTGGCCATGCAATTTCTATTTTCTCTACAACTAAGACCTTAATCAAAACTGACCTGTGTTGTGTTTTATCTTATTAGGGCTATACCTTTTTCTCTTTTCTGAACTGTAATAGATCATTGTTAAAGACCAACATCATTTAAGTTAAATACCTTTTTGCCCTGGTCTTCTGAGTCACAGGCTATTGGGGGCAATGTTTTGGAGTTAGGCAGGATTTTTTTTTAACAAGAAAAGAACAAACTTATTAGCGTGTGCGTCACATTTACACATGGGAGTACCCAGACATGAATCCAAGGGGTGGTTAGAACATGTGCTTAAATACTATCTTAAGATAAAGGAAAAGGAGTGTTGGATATTAGGAAAGGCAAGTTATGAGAAAGTCACCAGGAAATGTACTAAGTGAAGCTTGCTTAGTAAGGTTTGTTATGTAGATTTAAGTCTGTGCCTTCTCCACTGATGAATTAAGAGTTCTCTTCCTGGAATGGGAAAAGGAGACGCTTTTCACAAATGGAAATTTCCTTTATAAATGTAAATTTCCTTTACAAAAGGAAAACTTGTGCCCTGTTTTTACAGCTTTTCCTTCTTCTGCTGGTGGTCAGTGGCCTTTAGCTCAAAATGATCCACATGCCTAAGAGGTATATTTTGTGGTAGCCTATCCCAGTACCTTCATTATGCCTTTTGAAGCTTCCTTTTTTTCAGGAAATTTCAAATACCAAAAACCTAGCTGGTAGCTGTAGAGCAGATTTGGGTTAGGGTTTGTAAGTAAGAGATCTGCTGAGGAGAAAAAAAAAAAGCAAACAAAAAGCAGAGATTAGAATAAGCATGAGAAAGGAGAAAAGGGCACATTTAAACGCATTGTCCATTTCATTAAACTGGGCTCTTGGTTCTGGGTGTAGGTCAGTCCAGTTAAACAGTGTGCTTCATTTCAGGAGGCAGTGGTGTAGGTGGGAATGTTGTCTCCCTTTGCACTAGGTGAAACCTCAACCTGGACAGGGGAGGGTTCTTGACTCTGATCAAGAAGAAATTCATGAACAGATCAGATGGGTGCAGATAAAGAAAGAGTTCATTCAAACAGGAGTAGTAGTATAATGGCAGCAGCTATGAAGGCAGAGAGCAAGGAAGAACTGAGGGAGGAAAGGGGAGCTCATTGAACTCCTGCTCAGCATAAGCCAAATCCCTTGCCCACTCCTAAAACCAGGGTCACCTGGTATCCCGTGTCTATTTGAATCTGCAAGGCATGAAAACTGAGCCCCTACCACCCCAGGATTTGAGGGAGCCGCAGTGCACTGGATGGAGTGAGATTATGTTCTGAGAACTTACCAGAGCAAAGAAAGAAGATTTTTTTTCAGGCAGGCTGCTAAAGAGCATGATTGTACAGCTCCAGTCTTATCTGGGTCACCCAGGTGATGGGAA